TACTTAAATTTGTTTTGATTCAATTACTTTCGAATTTTTCCAATTTTACTTAAATTTGTTTTGAAGTGGGGTTTGATTTGGTTGATTTGTTTTGATTCATTACATTGCAGGAGACTAGTGCAATTTGTTTTTCGGAACTCTGTTTTACTTTATGAAAATAGAGCAAAACAGAGACAACTTTCAGGAAACAGAACAAAGACCATCCTGATAAACCAATCAATGGTTAAGTTAATTTTGATTAAGAGCATTAGTGAGTGATTAGGTTATGAGTAATTTGTAAGTTATAAAAGTTAAACTTGATTTAAGTTCCACTCTGTGAATTAGTCAAACTTAAACCCAAGAGTAAAAATAAATAAATAAATAAATAAATTTGAAAAATAATACAATTTTCTCTAAAAAAAAAAAAAAAAAACAAATGGTATTTTTCAATATAGAAAAAAAATAAGCACAGGAGAAAATTATAAATAAAATAAAAAAAAAAAAAAAAAAACAAATGGTATTTTTCAATATAGAAAAAAAATAAGCACAGGAGAAAATTATAAATAAAATAAAATTGAATTATCAATTGTAAAAAAAAAAAAAAGGATCTATACTGATGGAATTATCCGTTTGTAAAGGTAAGGGTCTATACAAATGGAAAAATTCTTGAGATTTTCCAAGGTCTATACCAACGGACAAATCTTCCATCGGAATAGATCTGAGGGTTTATATAGACGGATCAAACATTGGTATAGACCTTATACTGACGAGGTTTCTACCGACTTAAAACTCTTCCGTTGGAATAGTCCCTAGGGGTCTATACCAACGGAAAAGGGGTGTATACAGACAGAAAATTTCTGTTGGTATAGATGCATTTGCTTGTAGTGAAAGGTAATAGCAATTATCGTTATTAATGAGAATCATATAATGCGATAACACATTCTTAAAGTGTTGAATAGTCGTATATGCCATTGAGATGGTATATCAATGATATAAAGACTATCGTGTATGATACTTTGTTAGGAGACAATACTTCTTCTCATGAAGTCATGTAACATATGACTAACTCAAAGTAATCACGTGCACTAGATTGACTTGCCAAGAAAACTCTACTTGTATATGTGATTAGTAGCTTCCCACCTATAATGCGAGTGTAAATGATCTTTGGACTTGAGATAACCATTATTTTCTGTGAGGACTTATATACTTTGATGCTATTAAAAAATAGCCACTTTGAAGAGTTGCGAGTAATACCATTATTGGGTGCATCACAAATCAAATGAGAGTAATGGGCGAGTCAAGATATGATTTGTCTTTCTTGAGTTTATGAGAGAAGATATCTTTGGCCCTATAATTGAGAATAGACTATTTTTAAAGTCCATGACCACGGTATAAATGAAGGTTCATTCAAGAAGTATGTCTATCTTGGGAGCCAAGAAAGATATATCAAGCTTTAAGGATGATGACACATAGCATGCATCTTGCTTGATGGAGATATCAACGATGAAGGGATTTAATTACACAAGTGCATCGGTTATAAGAAGGTTTGTCAAAACCATTGACTCTTTTTATCACTTTGGGTGGCCATGATATGTTGCTAGATATTGTGTGAGTGTTGTTGCCATCATGATAGAAATCTAGAGGTCACACTTAGTGTGCTTTAGAGATTGGGATTTCTATGAATCCAAGTTTATGAGTTTGGATTAATTTATGTAAAAATAATATTTTCATAAGAGAAATAAATTAATCAAGATCTATAACAAATTGGTAGAAAAATTAATTTATTTTAATTAAATTAACTTTAAGTTTGGATTTGTTCCAATTTGAGGACAAAAAAAATCCAAAGTGGCAATTAACTCCTTGGAAGATTATATGGCTAAAACACTAGTGATTAGGCTTAGGGCTTGAAGCCCTTGCTGAAAATCCTAGTCCATATTAGACTAGGGAGTGTGGCAAGAAAGAGAAAAAATAAGGGAAGGAACGTTTTCTAATTCTAGATTTTCTGTTTGATTTGAAAACTAAGTTTGGTAATTTTAATTGAATTAGAGTTGCAAGTCTTCTATTCCCTATTAATATAAATAGGTGTAGAGAACCCTAGATTACTAATGATGATGGTAGATTTTACATTGTAGGATTTTAAGATCATTCTACCAAAAACCTAAAGGAGAACAAAATTGATTGTTTAATTTTTAGCACCTTCAAAGACTTAGTCTTCTTCAGATCCTTGAGTGCACATGTGGAATTCTACACTTCAATTCTTGGGTGGCTTCAGCAGAGGATGGTGGTTAGACGTACACATCAACAAGGCAAATGTCATTAAGGTACTGATTATAAATCCTTTATTAATTGTTAAAGGATTTATATGGATCCTAGGTGGGTTGAAAGAGGACAAGATTAAATTTTAAGTTTTTTTACTTCCATTGCATCCTCCTAAACCCAACACTACCTCCTAAACAAACAATTGGAAAATATTTCTTTGAAGATCAACAATAATAACCAAAGTATTTATTCTAAAATAAATTAATTTCAATAAAGAACAAAGTGATATATTCCTATTAGTTATTTGAGAGTTACAATATATTTAATCAATAACATCGTAGTAAATTATCAACATATAAAACAAATCTAGTTAATCAAATTATATTCTACCAAATTACACATAAAAGGAGCTTGACTAATCTTATTTAAAAATTAAGTAATATAATTTCCAAGGTTTATTGCACATGTTTCCTTTGCCAATAATGGAGGAAGTCTCACTTGAGCTTTCAAACTTTAAAGTGGGCATTTGGATTAAATGTTCAAATGTAACTGATAATTGATTGTTGATATTTGGTAGTTGATAATCCATGTTATATATAATTAAAAGCATCTAATTTGTTTGATTAAAATCAAGAATTAATAGTTGTTAATGAAACTCCAAACCAAACACCCACAAAAATTGACCTTTGAACCCTCATCTTTCTAACTTTTTGCACTTAAATCCTTTTCTTTTAATTTTCTCCAATTAATCATTGAAGGTTGAAGCATCAAAAAATTTAAAATTACTAGTATTAACATCAAGATTAAGGAAAATTAGGATGTCCTGGCAATTAAAATGCCAAGAATGATAATGAAAAAATTAAAATATCCTAGCAATTAAAAGGTGAACATCCAAGAGAGAGTATTATCAATTTCTCTATCAGTGGATGTTTCACCTTCACTTTTATCTTCAATCTTTCATTTTGTAACTCATTTCCACTTGGCTCCATTCATAGCTCCACATAAGTGCCATTCATAACTCCATTAAGGTGTTATTCATAACTCTACTTAGTCCTATTTAATAACCAATGTAACCTCCACATTTCCTTAGGCATATATATAGGTCTATAAGTTTGTATAATTTGTATATGATGAAATAAGAAGAAGTTCTCACTACAAAAACTTATTATTTTGCTACCATTTCCTTTTATTTTATAATACTTTTACCTGTTTTGATTGCTTTTATTTATTTTTTCTTTTTCATGGTTACAATATCAATTATCCTTATCCACTATTTGTACGCCTTTTTTTTTTTTTATTTGACTTGCAAGCCCACTATACTTGTCTTAGTGGCTTTAAGCAATAGTGGTTTTTCTCTTTAAAATATATATATATATATAGGGAAAATACTTCTAGAAATAGAAGTAATATTGGCTAGGAATATGGTTTTGAGGTAAATAGTACTTTTAGAAGTACTTTATGATTTAAACATCATTTAGCAAGCAATAGAAATAATGTTGGAGGATGTTTGAGCATGCGACAGAATATTAAGCAAAAGATGCTTGAAGTTCTAGCAGATTAATTGAAGTATTTAAAAAAGAAACAAAGGTTTACTATAGTGAAGGGAGAAAATGATGGTAATAACAAAGAGGTGGTATAAGGAAAAGAAAACTATTTTAAATTAAATGTTGAAAAAAGATATGAGGGAGGAAGCACATCAACAAGTTGCTAGATTTTTTTGTGTAAGTGCAATACCTTTTAATTGTGTGAATCTAGATTTCATAAAAATGTAAGATAATTGGAAGATATGAACTTGGGTACAAATCTCCTTCTTATCACTAGATTAAAGAAAGATAATAAAGAGAAAGGTGAGTCACACAACGAATTGCTTGAGAAGTATAAAAAATAATGGAGAAAAACTGATTACACTATTATGTTAGATAGAAGGACAGATGAAAAGTGAAGATCTATAGTGAATTTTTTGCTGAATAGCCTTATAGGGATAGCTTTTTTTTTTTTTTTTATCATCAATTGATACATTTGAAATTTCAAAAACTATTGACTAGGATTTTGAGATGTTAGATGAGAAAATGGGGTAAAGCAAGGTTGTGCAAAGTCATTATAGATAATGTTGCTAATTATAAAGCTCTAAGGGAGACACTAATGAAGAGAAGAAAAACGCTATTTTGGACACCTTATGTAGCACATTGCATTGATTTGATATTAGAGGATTTTGAGAAAAAATTAAAGATCCACAATGAAACAACTGAAAAGGGAAGAAAGGTGACAGCCTTCATCTACTCAAGAACTCTCTCATTTTTGTAATGAAGCAATTAGCCAAAGGGAGGGATTTGATTAGACCTATTGCCACCCATTTTGCTATCTCATATCTTACTTTACATGCCTTAATGAACATAAGGCTACATTAGTGTCCATATTTTCCTCATAGAAATGGAAGCAGTAAATATTCAAAGTTGAGAGATAGAAAGTTTGTTGAGAAAGTGATTTAGGATAGAAACTTTAAGCAAAATATATCATTAATTGTTTAAAGGCTACATATTCACTCATTAAGGTGCTTTGTTTGGTGGACTCTGATGAGAAGACAACCATGTCTTTCATTTATGTAGAGATGGATCATTGTGAGGAAAAATTCAAGAAAATTTCAAAAATATCAAGAAAAGGTATTATTAGTCGTATACTTAGCATGTTCAATTAAGTTTTAAAACTCAACTACTCATGGCATGCGCCCTCTCTTTCTTTTCTCTCTTTTTTTATTTTTTATTTTTTTATGTTACAGTTATGCAAAAAATTGTTGAAATAGATGGGCATCTCAACTCCGTAGACCCTTGTATGAAATAGCATATTTTTTGAGTCACCAATTTTGTTTTAATTTGGATCCTAAACAAAGTTACAAAGTTGATGTGGAAGTTAAAAGGGAGTTATATGATGATAAAAAAGGGAACACAACTAATTCTCAAATTGATCTTTTCAAGGCTTTTATAAGGTCATTTGGAAATACTCAAGTAGTAAACATGTAGAGTAAGAAATCTTTAGCTAGTTTTTGGGACTATTATGAAGATGCATG